TTTTTTTTGTCTGCCATGATGTCCGCCATAGACCGCCATGGCATCCGCCATGGCAATATGGCACTTAAAGGTCCTTGCCGCCATCCGCCGTATAACCTTATTGATAACCTTGATGAAGAGTGAATGCGCGCGTTGTGCCTCGCACTCTCTTATTTAATTTCGCGTCCTTTTTTTACGTCGGACCTGATAGGGTTGGACGTAAAATGTCAAATCTACGCCGAACACTATCCGACGTAGATTTGACATTTTACGTCGGACTTAGTAGGGTCCGACGTAAAAAAGTTCACAAAAATTACAAAAATGTCACCGCATCTTTTTTATGTCAGATTTTAGTGTGTCCGACGTTAAAAAGATGACACTAATTTTCCAATAGTGATATGTAATGACTAGCATGCATTTTAAAATTGAACTATGCAGGCACTAAGCAATGGAACTTACATAAGTGCTGTGCACCGGGTGGTGGCAGCTGAGAAGGTAGAGAGATTCTCAGTGGCATATTTCTATAACCCTTGGAAAGATGCAGTGATAGAGAGCCACATGATGCCACGAGTGTACAAAAGGTTTACCTTTGGAGAGTACAGAGAGCAGACAGAGAAAGATGTTAAGAAAACAGGTGATAAAGTGGGGCTGTCTAGGTTTCTCTTGTAGAAACATAGTCACAATGACACCCCAAGAAAAATTGATGAGCAAAAGAAATTTTTCAAACGTTGAGATGAGTCAGTCACATCTGATCATGGATTCCGGAATCAGGGACCACATACCACTTTGAAAGTTGTCATCTCCCAATCATACTTCGACACAAGTGCATTTTCTTCTCCAGGTTATAATTAATCTATACTTTCATCATTTGGAAGAGGTTGAGGTTACTTAGTTAATTAGGACTAAAATATATGTGTACATAATTGGAGGAGTTTACTTAGTTAATTAGGACTAAAATATATATCTACATAATTGGAGGTGAGATGGTTGTTAAATAATTTTGTTTATTATATATGTTAGAGATGTTGTAAAAATAAAGTCGTTAGAAATTTCATCCCTAGTTTACTTTAGGCATATAAAAAAAATTGTTAAGAAATATTAATATTTTTAATGAGTTTCAATATTTCTATGCATTAGTTTTTGTCTCTCAGCTAGGAGATATTCCAATTTACCAAAAATATAACATGTAAAAAGGTAAAGAGGTTATTATATATATATATATATGCGCACGCGATGGTTTTTAATTTTTTTTTTATATAAAATTGTTCATTTGCTTTTATCTTTGTATAAAAATGTGATTTTAATTCTCTTATTAAGCATTAAAAGTATATTTTAAAAAAAAATTAAACACTAAATAATATTTTTTGCCAACTAAATTCAAAAACAAAAATTTTCAAGTATTAATATATATATATATATATATATATTGAGGGATTATCATGGAGTTATTTGAAATCAGATTTATAATTTTTTCTAATGTAAATTAAGGAGTGTCCTTGAAATATTAGTCAATAATTAACGGTAGAAATTATGTAATGAAAAAATTATTATTTAAATATAATTTTAGTTTTTATAAAATGAACGAATTTTAATTTTGGACTCGATATTTGTTTTATCCTCTAAAATTTATAAATATAGGTTTTAGTTCCTATTATAATTATATATTCATTTTTTAATTACTTATTTATTTACCAAAATATTAAGTAATAATCTCAAATGTTATCTACAATTATTAGTGATACCAAGTTAATATAGATATGATAACTAAACTTACATATATGGATACTCGTTTAACCTCGAACTAATCTCGACAAGAAAATCCGCTTTACAATCAAACTCTAATACTATAGCCAATCCATAATTTTATAATCTAAGTATCTATAAGTATTGGTATTATGAAAAAATATGTAAGAAAAATTAAATTATTTCTTTTACATTAATGAGAATAGTATTTAAATTTGCACTATGCGTAAATTTATATTTCACCCGATTTCCAGGTTATAATGTAAATTTTTTACTCTAATTTATTAATTTCAACTCATTTATATTTGTTTGAGTAAAATTTCTCAAAAATACTTAAGAGAGAAAAATAAGAAAAATTAAAAAAAAAAAGTCCTCTAATTAGCTTTTGTATAAACTAATTTGTTGAAGTTTTCTCATTTTAATTTCTCTATAAAAAAAAAAACTTGTATATAAACTAATTTATAAGGAGACTTATTTTAATTTTTCTTTTTATTTTTCTCTTCTAGAAGTATTTATGAAAAAATTTATCCAAAAATGTACTTATTAGTCTCGATGAAAGTTACATAAATGAATAAATGAAATTCATACAAGTTGCATGGAAAATGATAGAAGGGAAAAGAAAACAAGAGATAGAGAAAGTGATTGAGATAAAAAGTCGAGAGGAAATATCAATTTTAAACAAATTACTTTCGTTACAAGAGAATTGTCATTTTCTAAAGAACTTTCAAATGAATTTTTCTTTACAAGATTCTCATGAATTTTAAACGAAATATCAATTTCAGACAAACTACTTTCCGTTCAAAAAATCTCCATTGTAAATTTCAATCCACACCAAATTTTATCTCAAATCTTTTTTTTTTAATATATCTTTTATTAAATTCAAGCAAACATACAGTTGACAAATTTTATATTATAATTTTTTATGTATTTTGGACGAAGAGGTGAAAGGAGTTAAGAATGATTATTTCTTATATAACTCCTATACTATACCAAACCTGTTTCAAAAGTAAGTTAAGAATGCATATTTCTTTATAAATCCCCATTTTTAAGTTTTTCATAATAACTGTAAGAAATATTCATTTTAATTTCTAATTAGAAAATTCATTCACTTTAGTTTTTTTTTTACTATATTTTACCTAATAAAAAATAATAACATTTTTGCAATCTAAGGGATCGTAAAAGTGATGATTTTGTAAAATTACATAATAAAGTAACCAGAACTTGTAATTTGACTAAATATGTTGAGAGCGGATCAAAATCCTCTGTCTCCTCCAACTCCTGTCCCCAAATCCTATCCTTCCAATCACAAAATGTCACATGATTACTTTTATTTTTAATTTTGATTTTTAAAAAATGTAATCGATTTTGTTACGATTTGTTGTTGGAACGTTGGGCAGTTCAACATAACTTTCTCCCACCTATAAAAACACGCACCCATTAATATATTGAACTGCCCAACTTTCCAACAACAAATCGTAACAAAATTGATTACATTTTTTAAAAATCAAAATTAAAATTAAAAGTAATGATGTGACATTTTGTGATTGGAGAGACACGGTTTGGGAACAGGGGTTGGAGACAAAGGATTTTGATCCCTGGTCATGGATGGTAAAATGAGAGATGTTATATTTTACAAATTTGTTTTTAATAGTAAATTAAATGTGTTGAACAAAAAATAGAGCTCTGATCATAACCCTTTTAAATTCAAACATAGATGGTAAAATGAGTTGCTTCAAGAATAGGTGGATCCATATTTAATCTAAAAATGCAATAATGAGTTATGCTTAATTTTACTTTTTTTTTCCAGATATTCCATGATCTGTGAATTTTAATGTGAGATGAAATAGTACAAATTGATCGATTAAGTCACAGTTTTATTGTACGTTGTTAGGTTATTTTAGGCCATGCATGACAGGTGTTAGAAAAGTTAATCTGGCACATCTTATTAGTTATTGTTAAACTTGACATGCTCTCAACGGATCAAAATCCTCTGTCTCCAACTCCTGTCTCCAAATCCTGTCTCTCCAATCATAAAATGTCACATCATTACTTTTAATTTTAATTTTAATTTTTAAAAAATGTAACCATTCTGTTATGATTTGTTGTTGGAACGTTGGGCAGTTCAACATGACTTTTTCCCATGGCCTTCACCACCACCATGCTTTCGTGGAGTGTTGTTGAGTTTGGTGGGGTCATGAAGGGTGAGTTGCAGAATGCAAGAGAAGCCATTCGTTGGGTCACATATTATCTTTCTCAAAGCCACTTCACATCCATACACCATTTATGTTCAGGTTACTCTTCTCTTCCTAGTAGTTCCATTTCTTCTGTCATTCTTGTGTTATGTTAAAAGACATATTACTACGGAGGTGTTATTAATGGGTGCGTGTTTTTACAGGTAGGAGAAAGTCATGTTGAACTGCTCAACGTTCCAACAACAAATCGTAACAAAATCGATTACATTTTTTAAAAATCAAAATTAAAATTAAAAGTAATTATGTGACATTTTGTGATTGGAGGATGAATTTGGAGACAGGAGTTGGAGACAGAGGATTTTGATCCAGAATTTGGGATACCAAATTTATACTTGCAAACTTTGTTGTCGCTATTATACCCATGAATGAAAAAACTTTTAAATTGTCATATAGAGTAAAAAGAGATTAAATTGGACTTTAATTCGAAAATCAGATGAAACTTGAATCTTGTATAACTATCCAATTACTTCAGTTCGATCCCTCACTATAAAAAAATTAAAATTATCATGTAGTATATAATAATATTACATTTATCATTAAAAATTATTATTTTTATATTATAATATAATATATATTAATATATTATTAAAATATATATGTATAAACTATAATAATACATAAAATATATTGTTAAATTTCATTTAAAATTAACATTAAAATTAGATGTAGAAATAAATGTTAGGTAACGCACACACAATCATAACAAATACCACACAAGTTATACATAACCAAGCATAACTCTCAAGTTATAGATACATTAGAATACATACATTCACTTATCATGCAATAATGTCATGGACTCGACTCATAAATGCATGCATGTGGTGCCATACGGAAGTTTCACATTTCTCATCACTGGTATGCTACTACAACAACATACCTGGGAGCACATTCATTCATGAATGCATCACTGGTGACCAAAGGTACACCTAGAATAGCTCAATACATCACTGACATGCGACCTAAGCAGCATACCTGGAATAGATCATTTAATCACTAGTGATCCAAGGTACACCTGAAATAGCTCAATACATCATTGGCACACTAGTACAAAAGAGGTATTTAACGTCAGTTTTTTTCAGCTTTTTACGTCGGAAAAACTTACAGACGTTAAAACGGGAGACGTAAAATTTACGTCGGCATTGTAAAAGCGACGTAAATTTACGTCGGACATATCAAGGTCCGACGTAAAAAAGTAGCGAAAAATTTTAAAAAAAAATTACGAGTGCAAGCAGAACGACCCGTTCTGAAAGGAGAACGGCCCGTTCTGCAAGAAGAACGGCCCGTTCTCCTTGTAGAACGGCCCGTTCTGAAAGGAGAACGACCCGTTCTGCAAGGAGAACGGGCCGTTCTGCTTGTTCCAGATGCAGAAGAAACGAGACGGTCCAGAAAAGGAAGAAAAGGAAGAAAAGGAAGAAAAGGAAATAGGGAAAAGGAAATGAAAAATACATAAAAAAAGGGAAAAGGAAATGTAACGTTCTCACAAACGTTAGCCTGAATGTTTTAGCTCCAAAAGGCGCAAGAAAAAGGCGCAGATCTGCAAAATATTCGAAGGCTTTAAGCGGAGAGAACAACAAAGCTAGCTCTAAAAGGCGCAAGCAAAAGGCCAGATCTGCAAAATATTCGAAGGTTTTAGGCGGAGAGAACAACAAGGCTACCAACTTATAGCACGTTATTTAAAGAATGTGAAACCTTTTTTACGTCGGATATAATAAGGTCCGACGTAAAATGTAAAATTTACGTTGGACATTAATAGCTCCGACGTAAATTGTACATTTTACGTCGGACCTTAATAAGTCCGACGTAAAAAAGTCCACAAATATTACAAAAATATCACCGCGTCTTTTTTACGTCGCTTTTTTGTTAACCGACGAGAAAATAGTGACGTAAAAGGCTATTTTTCTACTAGTGATACATCTTAATCAACTCCTGTGTACGACAATGCCCTTTTGCATTGACCACACCCCTAATGTTCCAACAAAATATATTGATGTGATCCATAACAGGTCAACCTAGCTGGAACAAAAAATGGTGCCTGGTCAAACTGCTATAGCCACCT